TAAACAACCTAACATTACAGCTTAAAGAACTAAAAAATGAAGAACAAAAGCAACCCAAACTCAGCAGAAGAAAGGAAGTAATAAAAATTAGAACAGAATTGAATTAAATAGAGAACAAAAAGACTATACAAAAAATTAATATAACAAAGAGCTGGTTCTTTGAAGAGATTAAATTGACAAACCCCTGGCTAGACTCATTAAGGAAAAAAAGAGAAAAGACCCATACAAACAAAATCAGAAATGAAAGAGAAGTCATCACAGACATCAGATATACAAAGGATCGTACTAGAATACTATGAAAGATTGTATGCCACCAACCTAGAAGAAGTGGAGAATTTTTAAGAAATATATTACATTTCTAGACTAAATCATGAAAAACTGGAAAATCTAAATATACCGATCAACAGTGAGGCAATTTAAACAACCATCAAAAACCTCCCCAAAAGTAAAAGTACAGAACCAGATGGCTTCACTAGTGAATTCTACCAAACATTAGAAGATTTGATATTTATTCTTCTGAAACTTTTCCAAAAAATTGAAGAAGAGGAAATACTTCCTAACATGTTTTATCAGGCCAACATAACCCTCATACCAAAACCTGACAAGGATAATACACAAAGAGAAGACTACAGACCAATATCTCTAATGAATACAAATGCAAAAATCCAAAACAAAAGACTAGCCGATTGAATACAGCAATACATTAAAAAATAATAATACATCATGATCACGTGGGGTTCATTCCAGGGAAACAAGATGATTCAACACATGAAAATCAATGTAATACACCACATTAACCAAACAAAGAAAAAGATCATGTAATATCAATAGATGCAGAAAAAGCATTTGATAAGATACAATATCCATTTATGATTAAATACTCAATAAAATAGGTATAGAAAAGTATCTCAACATAATAAAGGCCATATATAACAAACCTTCAGCCAATAGCATATTCTTTTTTAAAAAATGTCCACCTGGGGATATTTTTCTATTTATCTTCAGATAGAATGGGAGGAAAGAGGAGAGAGAGAGAGAGAGGGAGACAGAGAGAAACATTGATGTGAGAGAGACATACTGACTGCTTCCCACACAACCCAACCAGGCCCAGGGACCAATCCACAAGCAAAGTACATGACCTTGACTGGAATTGAACCTGCGACTCTTTGGTTCATGGGCCAATGCTCTAACTGCTGAGCCTAACCAGTCAGGGCAGCCAATATCATATTCAATGGTAGAAACCTGAAAGTCTTTCCTCTAAAATCAGGAACAAGACAAGAATGCTCACCCTCACCATTCTTATGCAAAATAGTTCCCATAGTCCTAGCCCGAGGAATGAGGCAAGAGAAAGAAATAAAAGGCATCCATATTGAGAAGAAAGATGTAAAAATGTTGCTTTTTGCAGATGACATAATTCTGTATATAGAAAACCCTAATGACTCCATCAAAATACTATTAGAAATAATAAACAAATACAGGAAAGTTGAAGGATACAAAATCAATGTACAAAAATCCAATACTTTCCTATATATTAACTTCAGAAAAAAATTAAAAAAAAAAAAGCTTTTGCAATTGCAACCAAAAGAATAAAATACCTAGGAATCACCTTTAAAAGTATGTAAAGAACCTATAAACTGAAAACTACAAAGCATTATTAAAAGAGATTGAAAAAGACACAATGAAATGGAAAGATATTCCGTGTTCATGGATAGGAAGAATCAACATAGTTTAAATGGTCATATTACCCAAAGCAATGTACAGATTTAATGCAAGCCCCATAAAAATCCCAATGTTATTTTTTCAATGACATAGAACAAAAAAATCATCAGATATGTATGGAACTACAAAAGACCCAAATAGCCAAAGTAATCCTGAGAAAAAAGAACAAAGTCGGAAGTATCACACTACCTGACTTCAAATTATACTACAGAAATGTGATGATCAAAATAGTATAATATTGACAGAAAAACAGACACACAGACCAATGAAAAAACAATTGACAGCCCAGAAGTAAAACCATATGTATATGGGCAAATAATATCTGACAAGGGAGCAAAAAACAAATGAAGTAAAGATATCTTCTTCAATAAGTGGTGCTGGGAAAATTGGGAAGCTACAGGAAAAAGAAAAAAACTAGATTTCAGTTGTCCCCATGTGCAAACATTAATTCAAAATTAATCGAGAACCTAAATATAAGACTTGAAACAGTAAATTACATAGAAGAAAACATAGGTACTAAACTTATGGACCTTGGTTGTAGAGCACATTTTAATAATTTGTCCCCAAAGTCAAGAGAAGTAAAGGCAAAAATAAATGAATGGGACTATATTAAACCAAAAAGCTTCTGCAGAGCAAAAGAAACTTACCACAAAACAAAATGGCAACCAATTGAACAGGAGATGATATTTGCAAACAACAGCTCCGATAGGGGGTTAATATCCAAAATATATAAAGAATTCATACAATGCAACAGCAAACAAACAATTCAATTAAAAAATGGGCAGAAGGCCCTGGCCGGTTTTGTTCAGTGGTTAGAGTGTCGGCCCACGGACCAGAGAGTTCCAGGTTCAGTTCCCACTAAGGGCACTTACCTCGGTTGCAGTTTGTCCCTGTCTGCAGTTGGGGTCGTGTGGGTGGCAGCTACTTTTTGTGTCTCTCTCACATTGATAGTCCGCCCCCCCCTTCTGCTCTATCTGAAGATAAAAGCAAAAATGTCCTCAAGTCAGGATTAAAAAGAAAAAAAAATGGGCAGAAGACCTGAACAGACACGTCTCCCAAGAAGATATAGAAATGGACAATAGGTATATGAAAAGCTGTTCAACTTCCCTGTTAGGGAAATACAAATCTAAACTACAATGAATTGCCACCTCGCACCTGTTAAAATGACTATTATCAACGAGACAAGTAATAACAAGTGTTGGAGAGGTTGTGGAGAAAAGGGGACAGTCATTCACTGCTGGTGGAATGTAAACTGGAATAGCCACTATGGAAATCTGGCAGTTCCTCAAAGAACTTAAGGCTAGAGTTACTATATGACCACCAATCCTTCTCCTGGGTATCTACCCAAGTAACACAAAAACATTTTTTCTGCATAGATATATGCACTCTGATATTCACTGGAGCATTATTCACAGTGGCCAAGTCATGGAGACAACTAAAGTGTCCTTCAATAGAGGACTGGATAGCAAAGATGTGGTACAAACATGCATTGGAACACTACTCAGCCATAAGAAAAGATGAATTACTGCCATTTGCAATAACATGGATGGACCTTGAGAATATTATGCTAAGTGAAATAAGTCAGAAAAAGTTAAGAACCATATGATTTCACTCATATGTGGGATATAAATCTGAAACTCATAGGCACAGATAACAGTATGGTGGTTACCAGAGAGAAGGGAGTGGTGTGGGGGGACAAATATTTGGTGATGGAAGATGTTTTGACTTTGGGTGGTGGACACACAATGCAATATACATATCATGTATCATAGAAATGTACACTTAAAACCTATATGGTCCTATTAAACAATGTCACCCCAATAAATTTAATTTAAAAATCAAGGACAAAGAGTAGACTTGGGAGAACATAAAGAGTTTAATGTCGTGCATGTAGAGATTGAACTGCTCATAGACCCTCCAGTGGAGACATCCACTGTGCAGATGAGAATAACAGCTGGGAGCTCTGGAGAAAGGTCTGGGCTACAGAGACAGGTGTAGAGGTCACAGAATATACGCGAGGATTAAAGTGGTGGGTGTGGATGCCATCACTAAGAGGGCACAACTAAGGATACACAGAAGGTTGGAAACCCAATCCATTCCACAAATGGAGCTAAGAGGTGTTTTCTATTTTGTTTTTAATTTTTTTTTTATTGATTTTAGAGAGAGAAGAAGGGAGAGGAAGAGAGAGATAGAAACATCAACAAGGAGAACATCGATTGGCTGCCTCCTGCATGTCCCCTACTGGGGATTTGGCCCACAACCTGGGCATGTGCCCTGACCAAAAATTCAACCGACAACCTTTTAATGCATGGGTCGATGCTCAACCACTGAGCCACACCAGTCTTGCAAAGTGTCTTTTTGTTTGTTTGTTTGTTTGTTTGTTTGTTTGTTTGTTTTAATGACTATTCATTCCCTTTCTTGTTGGAGTTAAATAAAACAAAAAGAACCCATAGAATAACATAGTCTGGGATCTTACATAGACTCAACAATTAACACACTGTATGATTAGCAAGTAACTGAATGTTATATTTTTCAGTCTGTGAATTAGTTATAATATCTTCTATAATTCCTTAGAATTGTCATAAGGGAAAAATAAAGATATAAAGTTCTTTTATGAAGAAGTCCAAACTACCAAACAGAAGAGAAGCATCCTTCCACTCTGATTTTTATACCACCTTTCTATCTTCTCCCCCATTCCTGGAGAAATAAATTTTAAGGCCCCTAAAATGCATTATTCCCATGTAAAGACAAAAGTTACTCTTGTAGAAGAGAGGTTCAAAAGATCGTTTTCAGGTCAGAAAACACAAGGTAGACATAAAAATAAATCAGAGCGGAAAAGTGGTTACAGGTAAACTCTGAACTTGGCACAGCAAGGTCTGTAGGAGGCATTTTATGGAAGGCTGGGAAGCTAATGTATTTGTATCATATTTAGTACTGACCTAAGAGTATAGAGAATTATTTTAAAATAATACCACAATCAAATCACAGTTCCGATTTTAAAAATAATATCCTGTAATGAATTAGTTAAGAATGAAAGAAATGAAGAACACTTAAAACAGTAAGCTTCACTAATTAATTAAATTTTTTAGTTATGTTGTCCAAGGCCCCCTGGGGAAGACAAAGGTTGTCACAAGGTCCCTCTGTGCAGTTTCTATTAATCACTTTTTACATACTAAACAATTGTGTATCATGTCACTTTAACTGAAGTTAATATGATAGGGAAAATATCTGGAATAATAGTTCAATATTAAAATATTTGCTGAAAAAATTATGTAAAACATTCATAGATAACAAGAAAATATCTTTTTACAAAAGACTCTTCCCAGGGCTCCCTTCATATCTCTGTTCCTCAGGCTGTAGATGAAGGGGTTCAGCATGGGTGTCACCACAGTGTACATCACAGCCATGACCGTCTCCTTAACAGTGGAATTATCAGCTGATGGGCATAAATAGAGAGCAATAATTGTCCCAAAAAACAGTGACACCACAAACAGGTGGGAGCCACAGGTGGAGAAGGCCTTGCGGATACCTCTAGCAGAAGGGACCTTGAGGACAGACAACACAATCCGTGCATAGGACATGATGATAAGTAGGAACGGGATAATGACAATGAGCCCTCCGATGGTAAATATCACCCACTCATTAATTTGGATGTCAGAGCAGGACAGCCTCAGCAGAGCAGACAAGTCACAGAAAAAATGTGGGATCACATTGTCGGCACAAAAACACAACCTGGCCGTGAGCAGAGTGTGTAACAAGGCATGCAACGTGGTCAGCACCCAGGACAGCGCCACCAGGGAGAGACAGACCCTGGGGCTCATGATGGTGGTGTAGTGCAGGGGGAAGCAGATGGCCACGTAGCGGTCATAGGCCATGGCCACCAGAAGAAAGCTCTCCAGGTCTCCAAAAAACAGGAAGAAGTACATTTGGGCCAGGCAGCCTGAGTAGGGGATGGACGGAACTTGGCTCTTCATGTTCTGCAGCAACTTGGGCATTGTGACAGAGGAAAAGCAGAGGTCAGAGAAGGACAAATTGCTGAGAAAGAAGTACATGGGCGTGTGGAGGTGGGAGTCCAGGTGAATGAGCATGATGATGAGGAGGTTGCCCAGAACGGTGGTAACATACATGGCCAGGAACAGGGCATAGACCAGGTTTTTCTGCTCAGACTTGATGGGCAGTCCCAGAAGAAGGAACTCTGTGATGACAGTTTGATTCTCTCCTGTCATATCTGTCTCTAGTATATTTAGGAAGAAATAATAATGTGCATTAACACCTGAATTAAAAAATGAACACATTTCTATGATACATGGTGTTTTAGGCACTCTACAAATATACTTTACATCACCTTTTCACAATAACTACAATCTCTATTCTCTGAATCTCTATAATCAGAACCTCTATGTTAAAAAAAATGGCTGATTTTTTACTTCTCTTTAATACATACTGTTTCAACATTTACTCAACAAGAGGAAGACAAACCATCCAATTTTTTAAAATGGGCAAGGCCCTAAATACACACTTCTCCAAAGAAGATATACAGATGGCTAATGGACATATGTAACAATGCTCACCGTCACTAATCATCAGAAAGATGCAATTATCACTTCACACATGTCAGAATGGCGGCCATCAACAAATCAACAAATGACAAGTGCTGGCGAGAATGTGGAGAAAAAAGGACTCTAGTACACTGCTGGTGGGAATGCAGACTGGTGCCACCACTGTGGAAAATAATATGGAGTTTCTTCAACAAATTTAAAATGGAACTGCTTTTTGATCCAGCAATCCCACTTCTAGGACTATATCCTAAGAATCCTAAACACCAATCAGAAAGAAGTTATGCACTCATATGATCAAAGCAGCATTATTTACAATAGCTAAGATCTGGAAACAACCCAAGTGCCCATCAGTAGACGAGGGGATAAAAGGGCTGTGGTACATTTACACAATGGAACACTATGCAGCCGTAAAAGAGAAGGCTCTCTTACCTTTTGAGACAGCATGGATGGACCTGGAGATTATTATACGAAGTGAAATAAGCCAGTCAGAGAAAGACAAGTATCACATGATCTCACTTATATGTGGAATCTAAGGAACAAAATAAACTGATGAACAAAATGGATTCACAGACATAGAAGCATGAAAGAGACTAACAGGTTTCAAAGGGAAGGTGAGAGGGAGTGGGAAGAGACCAATCAAAGAATGTATATGCATATAAGCATAGCCCATGGACACAGACAACACACGGGTAAAGGTCTGGGATGAGGTGGAAGATGGGTGGAAGGGGGAAAATTGAGGAAATGAAGAACATCTGTAATACTCTCGATGATAAAATAAAATAAAATAAAATAAAATAAAACAAAATAAATGTTCCAACTTTTCTAAAACACTCTGGAACATTAGTTTCTGAGACACATAATGTATCAATTTTCCTCATACCTGCCATGCCAGACAGCCTCAGTAACTATAATTGTCTCCAGTCAAAATCTTACATAATGGTGGTCCTTGGGACTTTCTCCTAAACAACGTTCTCTTATAATTCTACATATGTTACCAAGAAAAGAATTGATCTATTTCAAAGGCTTTGGTTACCATTTAAACCTCAGATGTAGATTTCTCTCTAACCTGTAAAACAGTACACTCTGTTGCTTTAGGATGATCATCCCTTGGATGTATCACAGGCATTTTAAGCTCAACAGACCCAGAAAGAAAATCAGGATCTCACCCTGCGCCTCCTTCCAATCTCCTTCTCCTCCTCTAACTTCCCACATCTCATTGAAAGAGTTCTGGGCTCTGCAGTCAGAAACCTGGGAGTCTTCTTTCATTCCCATGTTTCTCTCATCAGCAGCATTCAGTCTGTCAGCAAGGCTGATAGATTCTTCCACTCAGTTCTCATTCAATCACTCCTTATCTCAACTTTCAGGACCCTCAACCACCTGACCTCAAATCTTGTTTATACTAACTGAAACAGGCTCCTAATTCATGTCCCTGCTTCCATGTTGGAACCTTCCTCGTCAAAACCTTTCAGTCTCACTGTGGCATTTTAAGGTGAAAATCTGATCATCATGCTCCCTCAGGTCTTCATGAATCCTCATTGTTCTTAAGGAAAAATTCCTTTTAGAAAATGCTTCATCTTTTTGACCCATCCAATAAAGGGGAATATAGTCAATAACATTAGGATAACGATGCATGGTGACAGATGCTTACTAGACTTAGTGTGGTGATCCCATTGTAAGGTATATAAATGTCAAATCAGTATATTGTGCACATGAAGCAAATGCAATATTTTATACCAACTATATTTAGATTTAAAAGTGCTCACAGCCGGAACCTTTCTACCACCACAGCCTCATCGGCCGCACCATTGCACGCACACCACTCTCTCCAGCAATGCTGGACCTAAATGTAACCATTTCTGGCCTCCAGCTGTTTGTGCTTGCCTAATATTTTCCTCCCCTGCTCCCTCTTCACCTGGCTTGCCCTTACCGATTCTCCAGGTGTGTAACATGTCACTTACTCAGCTAAACCTTCCCGTCTCCCCAGACCAGGCGAGGAGCCACTGCCATGCTTCCCAGCACACTGTGCTGTCCCCACAGCACTCAGTGCCATGGGCATCATTTGTGTAGGGCTGTCTTCCCCACCAGGTCGTAAGATCCATGCAGGAGAGGCCATGTCTGCTCAGGACTGCACCTGGCACCATGCCTTGATGTTGCTAATGTTTCATGAATATGTATTGAGAGTGCTTCAGGCTGAGACATGCATGCCTACAACTTTAAAGGCAGCAGAAGTCCTTTTAAGTAAGAGTCACTACTCCTACTAAATTTTCCTAGAGCAAGAAGTCTCTAGCCTCAATCGTTTAGCATTAAGTACGGCATTTTATTACTGTAATTTTGTGTCCATAGAAATGTTAAGGTACCTCACATTCACTACTCTTGTCACTGATACAGATGACAAAAATAATAGATATATAGCTATGCAGATAGTTGATAGATAGATGATAGATTAGATAGACAGATGATGATAGATAGATAGATAGATGAGATGATGATAGATAGATAGATAGATAGATAATAGAAAGATAGTCAAACAGATAATCTCCCATTGGTTCTATTTCTCTGGAGCATCTCGAAGCAGACAAAGAAAGCAGAGGAGAAGAACTAAGAGATGTGGGAAGCTCCTTCAGTAAACACATCACTGAAGCCAGGTGCTGGGATTTTCACCCCTTGATGCTCTTTGATCCAACCCCATTAACAGTTTTTACTCTTGGACACTATGTACTGTCAATACAGTGAAGGAAAACATCCAGGGAAAATCATACTCCTAGCTTCTCTGAATTTTGTTTCCCAGATAAATTAATGGGATCTGACTCTTGTGACAATAGTATGACTGGAGATGACAAACAGGAGACAGAACTTGCCCATGCCACCAACGATGAGCAATGAGCCTCTCATCTGTTCACCCGTTAAGTCCATAGTTCTCAGCGTGAACTGCACATGAAAATCACCTAGGAAAGTGCTTCTGAAATCAATGGCCATGCAAATCACCCAGGAGTTCTAGTAAAACACAGATCCTGATTCAGCAGAAAAACGGCTACTTTTTAAATTAGCACTCTGGTGACGCCCATTCTTGTTCAGGAATGACACAGTGAGCTGCAAGTATATATCATGTTATTAAAAATAAAGATCAGCCCTGGCCGGCTTGGCTCAGCTGTTAGAGTGTTGGCCTGCGGACCAATGAGTCTCGGGTTCTATTCCAGTCAAGGGCACGTTCCTCAGTTGCAGTTCATCCCCAGCCCTGGTTGGGTCGTGTAGGAGGCAACCAGTCGATGTGTCTCTCTCCCATCGATGTTTCTCTCTCCCTTCTTCCCTCCCTCCAACTCTTAGCTCAGATCTGATGATAAACAGGGAAAAATAACCTCGGGTAAGGATTTAAAAAATATAAATAAATAAAAAAATAATAATAATAATAAATAAATAAATAAATATCACTGGCTTCCCAAGGACAAATTAAATCACAATACCTAAGACAGGTTTTGTGCCATGGCTTTTAAAGCTCAAAGTGATTCCAAAATAAAGCAAGGGCTAGAACTATTACATTAAAGCCTACCTCAAAAGCTGTCATTATTCCATAGGAAGGAGTATTTATGAATGCTATTACTAATTTTAAAAAGAATATAACTAGTGTACATTAAAGGTTGAGAAAAGAGGGTCATCATACCTAAAAACTCCCCTGCAGAATATCACACAACCTGAGACATCAGACCCTCCGCTTAGAAGGACCCTAAGGGACCAACTCATTCATCCTCTGCCCAAATTAACCAGCCTGTCTGAGGGTGAATCCAGGACCCTGGCCTGAGCTCCTGGTCCCCTTTATTCACTAAGGCATGTGAAGTAACAGCCTCTTGTATTCATCACCTGTGCTTCAACATCCCTTCTCACCTCTCCCATTCTACACGTCAGTGGCCAAAAGGGCCCTAAGTCCCAGAGGAGGCTAGATCCTGGAGGAACTCATTAAAGACAAAGTAATTACCCAGGACTGCTCTAGGGCAATGCTCTCAGAGTTCTGGAACAGTGACTGGTTATAGCCACTGATCACACCAGACTGTGCTTGTGGGGGAGGGGAGGATGGAGACAAACTCATGCACAGGTGCTTAAACACTATCTGTTCAGTGGACAGCAGGCTTGTGGGACTGGAGCCTACATTTTCAGAGGTGAAGGAAAATGGCTGGAGAAGCTGTAAAAACTAGTAGGCGTGTACAATGCTTTACCTGGTGGAAAACTAGAAGCAATCAGTGTTCCTTGAGCAAAGTGACATGAAAGATACATGTTTTGCAAAGATTCTCGGGGTGGTAGAATCTCTCACTACAACCCAGTTCCCCATAAACATACGCTAGGGGAGAGATACATCTGCAGCTGACAAGGATCGGATCTCTATGACCCAACCTTATGCATGTATATGGAAAAGACTGGAGTAGGAGGAAAGATAAACTCTGACAGATCATATTCCATCTTCTTCAGCCTGAGATCAAAAAGGAAATCTAGACTGAATCCTACTGAGGCACTTCTATCTCCTTACTTCTTTTTTTTTTTTTTTTTATCCTCACCCGAGGACATTTTTCCATTTTTTGTTCAGGTAGAGTGGGAGGGAGAGAGAGGAACAGAGAGAGAGAGAGAAACATCAATGTGAAAGGAACACATCGAGTGGCTGCCACCCGCACAACCACCAGGGCTGGGGACAAACTGCAACCGAGGTACGCGCCCTTAGCAGGAACCGAACCCGGGTCTCTCAGGACCGCAGGCCGACGCTCTAACCGCTGAGCCAAACCGGCCAGGGCCATCTCCTTACTTCTTTAAGAAAACATTTTAAAACCTGCCACCACCATAATCTCTTCTACTCTACATAGGTGTCACATTAACTCCTAACCTCCAGTTCTTTCTTATGTTGCAATTGATCACAGGACTGTGGTTGACGTTTATACCTCCTTCTGTCACCACACATTCCATATTCTCTTTGACCATCACCTCAGCTGGCTGGGGTCCTTCACATAGTGATGTTAAGCAAACGTTCTTTTTTTTCTTTTTTTTTTTTCAATTTATTTATTCAATTTAGTTTTTTAGTTTTTTTTTTTATAACAGATGTTCCTCCTTTTTCCCCCTTGACACCCTCCTCCCGGCTCTTGACCCCACCCACCTTGACCAGTTTGTTGTCTGTATCCACTGGTTATGCATATATGCATATTAGTTCTTTGCAAACCTTCATTCTTTTTTTTTTTTAATCCTCACCTGAGGACATTTTTCCTTTTTTTTTTTTGTTCAGATAGAGTGGGAGGGAGAGAGAGGAAGAGAGAGAGAGAGAGAAACATCGACGTGAAGGGACACATCGAGTGGCTGCCACCCGCACGACCAACCAGGGCCGGGAACAAACTGCAACCGAGGTACGTGCCCTTAGTGGGAACCGAACCCGGGTCTTCCGGACCGCAGGCCGACGCTCCAACCGCTGAGCCAAACCGGCCAGGGCCCAAACCTTCATTCTTATGGAACCTGCATCCCTGCTATTCCTGCCTTTATTAGGTTCTCAGAGTTTTCATTAACATTTATTATTATACATGAAAATAATATCCAAAGAATATCCCAGAATTTCAGATGGTGCTCTCTGCTCCAGCTGTGCAGGGTAACTTCGGTTTCCCTTGGTAGTCAGTATGACCACGCTCGGCAGACGGCAGTCCTGCTCTTTGTCTATCGATTCACGCCGCAACCTGAGCAGCCAGTCAAACCAGACCTGAGGAGGGGCGACAGGAGATTCTACAGAGAAAAGCCAGGGCAGGTGGGACTCTGTTCTGGGGTGGAGGAACAGGGACCCAGAGCTGGTTCAGCATGTTTGTTACACAGCATGAGAAAAGAGGGGAAGTTCGAAAGCTTCATGGTCTCCAGACAAGAGATGTTTCCCCTGGCATCTGAGCTCAAGGTCGAGGCTGCCAACACATTCTTCCTGTGGCACAGAATGTTTCTGAATGGGCCTTGCCATGGCCGCACCATCAACAAGAGTCCTTGGCTCAGCCGCCCTCCACAGACTCACATATGAACTGCGAAATGTCCAAGTGGCAGGCTCAACTTCTAATTTAATTAAACCATTGTTATACGCACTTCTGCCTTGAGAACCGTCTGAGACACTTCTTGTGCACCATTTTCAAGTCTCTCCGCCTGATCTCTTGTTCCAGCCGCAGCTGCAGTGACCCACTCTGCATGGACTTCAACCAGCTTTAGAAGATGCCACCTGAGAGCACTTCACCTCATTTCTGCTCCTCAGGCTCCTGAATTCCTGCTCTCGGACTTCTCTGACTCCGTGAAACAGGATGTGATGGGAAGCTTTCTCAGTACATGAAAATATTTAGGTATCTGACCCATGTCGAGTGAATTGTATAGAGTCTGAGCTATGAATTGAGATGCTTTTTTTGCATATGGAAATCCAATCTTTCAAGTGCTGATGGTTGAAAAGACTATTTTCCACTGAAGTGTCTTTTCATCTTTGTTAGTGATCAATGGATGATGCACGAATGGATCTATTTCTGCACTCTCGATGCTATTCTATATTCTCTGTACCTCTCTACATTTCTATATTTTCTCTAATACCACAATTACCTAACTTAACAGTAACTCTGGAAACCAGGCAATGTGAGTCCTACTTTATTGTTTGTTTCCAAATCAATTTTGCTTTTTTAGTTTCTTGCCTTCACATATAAAATGTATAGTCAGATTGTCTGTTTGTACCCCTCATTGGAATTTTAATGGAAATGTATTGAATCTCTTAATTTCTTAAATGTAAATTTCTTAACAATAGTGTTGAATCTCCAATCCATAAATATGTTATATTTATCCATTTCTTGAAATCACCTATGAGTTATTTAATCAGTGTTTTGTGACTGTCAAGGTATCTTTGCATATATTGTGTAAGATTTATACCTAAGTATTTAATTGTTTAGTTCTATTGTAAATGGTACTTTACAGAGTTGTTTTCACTTTCTATATCTTTATTGCTAGTTGATATAAATATACATTTTAATTTGTTAATATTTGTATATTTACATACAGAATAAAAACTTAATATATTAACATTGTACCCTATGATATTACTAAACTCACTTGTTAGGTCTAGAACTCTTTTTTACATGTTTTGAGATTTTCTACATAGACGATTATGTTGTCTATAAATAGATATGGTTAAATTTTTTACTTTCAAATCTGTATACTTTTTATTTCCCTTTTTCACTGCCTTGGACTTCCAGTACAATGTTGAATAACAGCAATGAGAGCAAACATTTTTACTTTGTTCCTGATTTTAGGGAGAAAGCATTCAATTTTGCACCATTGACAATAATGTTTGCTATAGTTTATTAAAAGTCACTCTTCCATCAGGTGGACAAAATCTCCTATTCCCAGTGTGCTGAGAGTTTTAATCACATATTGGTTAAATTCATGTTAAATTTTTCTGTCAAAGGATTTTTCCGCACCTATTGAGATAATCTCTCTCTCTCTCTTTTTTTTGTGGCTAAATTTCCCCTCTTTTTCTTTTATTTAAATATGTTTTTATTGATATTTAGAGAGAGAGATAGAAACATCCAAGTGAGTGAAAAACATCAATTGGCTGCCTCCTGTACACCCCCTACTGGGGTTCAAGCACAAAACTCAGGTATGTGCCCTGACCAGGAATTGAACCGAGACCCCTCAGTCCATGGGAGGATGGCTCAATCCACTGAGCCACACAGGCCAGGCTAAATGTCTCTTTTTAATAGCAAAGGGCCATTTGGTAGTAATGTCAATAGAAATATTGTTTGGAATATCTCTCTCTCTTTTTTTTTATCCTCATCTGAGGACATTTTATATATATTTTGTTCAGATAGAGTGGGAGGGAGAGAGAGAGAGAGAGAGAGAAACATCAACATGAAAGGGACACATCAAGTGGTTGCCACCCACACCACCCAACCAGGGCCGGGGACTAACTGCAACCGAGGTACGTGCCCTTAGCTGGAACCGAACCTGGGTCTCTCCAGACCACAGGCCAACGCTCTAACCGCTGAGCCAAACTGGCCAGGGCCGGAATATATCTTTAATTAAATGATTTTTTTGAAGTCTTATACAATTTTTTGTTATCATAGGTTTTTCTTCTTTTTTGTTCATATAATGATTTAGACTTACTACTTTTTAAATTAAGTGTATTGGGGTGACATTGGTTAATAACATTACATAGGTTTCAAGTATACAATTCTATGATAGATCATCTGTATATTGTATTGTGTGCCCACCACCCAAAGTCAAATCTTCTTCTATCAACATATATTTGACCCCCTTTACCAACCTCTTTACTACTCCCCCAACCTCTTCCCTCTGATAACCACCATACTGATGTCTGTGTCTACAAGTTTTGGTTTGTTTTTCTTGTTTATTCACTTGTTGCTTTCAGTTTTATATCCCACATATGAGTCAAATCATATGGTTTGTGACTTTTTCTGTCTGACTTATTTCACTTAGCATGATATTTTCAAGCTTTATCCATGTTGTCGTTAATGGCAATATTTCATCTTTTCTTTGGTTGAGTAGTATTCCATTGTATATTTGTACCACATCTTCTTTATCCAATCCTCTATCAAGGGACACTTTGGTTGTTTCCATGTTCTACTGTAAATAATGCTATAGTAAACATAGGGGTGCATATATCTTTGTGAATAAATGTTTTTAAATTTTTCAGGTAGAGGGGTTGCTGGGTCATATGATAATTCTATTCTTAAACTTAGAGAGGATTTTATAACTTGATCCAAAGGCAAGGGCAGTAGAGGCAAAACTAAATGAATGGCATATATCAAACTAAAAAGCTTCTGCACAGCAAAAGAAACCAACAACAAAACAAAAAGTCAGCCAACCGAATGGGAGAACATAGTTGCAAATATAAGCTTTGACAAAGGATTAATATCCAAAACATTTAAAGAACTCATACAACTCAACAGCAAACAAACAATCCAATTTAAAATGAGCATAAGACCTCAAGAGACACTCCTCCCAAGAAGACTTACAAATGGCCAACAGATATATGAAAAGATGCTCAACTTTACTAAGAAAATGCAAATTAAAAGTACAAGGAGATACCACCTCACACTTATTAGAGTGGTTATTATCAACAAGACAAGTAATAAGCATTGGAGAGGATGTGGAGAAAAATGAACTCTCATTCACTGTTGGTGGGAATGTAAATGGGTGCAGCCACTATGGAAAACAGTATGGAGGCTCATCAAATAACTAAGAATAGAGTTACCATATGACCCAGTAACCCCTCTTCTGGTCATCTACCTGCAAAATTTGATAACATTTATTCCCAAAGACATATGCACCCCTTTGTTCATTGCAGCATTATCACAGTGGCCAAAAATGGAAACAATTGAAGTGTCCTTTGACAGAGGATTGGATAAAGAAGTAGTGTTACATATAGACAATGGAATACTATTCAGTCATAAGATAAGATGAAATACTACTATTTGCGACAACATGGATGGACCTTGAGAATATCATACTAAGTAAAATAACTCAGACTGAAAAAGTTATGAACCATATGATTTCACTTACATGTGGAATATAAAACTGAAAGCAACAAGTGAACAAACAAGAAAAACAAACTAAAACTCATAGACACAGACAACAGTATAGTGGTTACCAGAGGGAAGGGGTTGGGGGTTACGAAAGGGTAAAGGGGGTCAAATATATGGTGATAGAAGATGTGACTTTGAGTGGTGGGTCCACAATACCATATACAGATGATGTATCATAGAATGGTACACTTGAAACCTATGTAATTTTATTAATCAAGTTACCAAATAAATTTCATTTTTTTAAAGTTTTCTCCCTATGTTTTCTTCAAAGAGTTTTAAAATTTCAGGTCTTGCCTTTAAGTCCTTAATCTATTTTGAGTTGATTTTTGTGTATGGTGAAAGATAGGGGTCAGTTTCTTTCTTTTTCATGTAGATGTCCAGTTTTCCCAGCACCATTTGTTGAAGAGACTTTCCTTTCTCCTGGCACCTTTGTCAAAGATCAGTTGATCACATACATTTTTCAGTTCTCTACTCTGTTCCATTGTCTATATTTTCAATACCTTCCAGGTTTAATTACTGTAGTTATATAATATATAGGATAGGGCAAAAGTATGTTTACAGATGTTCATATGAAAAACAATACAATAATTAATAAGTAGTAATACAAGAATAAACTCCATATCTCATAACCACATCTGTAAACCTACTTTTGTCCCACCCTGTAGTTTGAAATGAGAAAGTGTGATGCCTTTATTTGTAAAATATAATGAACATCTGATATTAAGCATTCTTAAAAATAAAAAGAAAGGCCCACAAAAGTACAGGAAATTCTTGGAGGTGGTGGATATACTTAAATATCTTGGTTGTTGTGCTATATCATGGGTGTATGTATATGTCCAAATTATTAAGAAGTGTACTTGAATGTGTGCAATCTTTATCAATTTTACCTCAATAAAGCTGAAAATGGAATATAAAACACAGAGAAAACTTGGATGAAATATAAAGAGTTCACCTTTCCAGATTAAGATGAAAGTGTTCCTAGAGTATTTGAAGTTGAGATGTCTTCCATGAAGATGAAAATAAAAATAAGAACTGGAGAAGGTCTAGACTGCAGATAGAGATGCAGAGGCAAGAACACATGAGAGGGTTACGATCATGGGTTTAGATGCCATCACCTAGGAGGGAGAATGAGGAAAAGTGAACCCAAGTTGGAAACCTAGACAGTGTCATGCGTGGAGCTCAGTTTGAAAAGTGAATGTCTGCTCCTTTCATTTTTGAGGTGGGAGGAATGAGAAAAACTCTAAATTCCGATATACTGAAATATTAAATAAGCTCAACAGAGATGCACTCTGAGACCCAGGCAAGTCATCAAATTCCTTTTTTTCAATCTTTAAAATGGTGATAAGATTCCACAAAAGGAGTGATTCATCACAGTAGATTAAGATCATGGGTGTAAAATTTGTTGATAAGTTCCAAAGTACTAATTAAGAGTGAGATGCTCGTAAACAGTAAGCCTGTTATTAAACATACTCTGGCTTCTTACCCATACCTGAGGGGGGGCCATTTAGGATTCCCTAAATGTAAATTAGCTCCCAGCTAAAGACAAACTAAACTATTGTAGCAAAAGAGATAGAAAGTCCACTCACATTAACTTCAAGTCAAATGAAATGAAAACAAATTAGATAACTAAGGGTTAGGAGACAAAATATTGTGAACTCTTCCTGAAGAAGAGGTAAGTTAAGAATTTGTATTCAACAATAAAAAGTCTAGTTTAGCAGCAGTAATCAAGAAAGTGAGAAATTTTGCCCTAGCTGGTTTGGCTCAGCAGTTAGAACGTCAGCCTGCGGTCCAGAGAGACCCAGGTTCGGTTCCTGCTAAGGGCACATACCTCAGTTGTGGTTTATCCCTGGCCCTGGTTGGTCGTGCAGGTGGCAGCCACTCGATGTGTCCCTTTCACGTCGATGTTTCTCTCTCTTTCTCTCTTCCTCTCTCTCCCTCCCATTCTGTCTGAACAAAAAATGGAAAAATGTCCTTGGGTGAGGATAAAATTTTTAAAAAGTGAGAAATTTTAATTTTATTCAATTGACTTGGGAGGACAAGTATTTTTAAAGTAGAATTTTTGCCTTAAAAAAAAACACATAATAAATTACTTCTTTAATAACTGGAGACACATGGATCCGTTAAAAGTGTGTAAATGATGCTTCTTCAGGATCACCTGGAATAACAAAGAGAAAGGCTTTGCTAACAGGTCACAGACCTCCCCTTTCTGAGTTTAACTATGCACCTCCACTTCATCTCTTTTACTTATTGAAATGTTGTTTAAGTAAATTTTTTTAAAAGATCAATACTAAAAAAAGATGTGTGAGTTAATATACCATTATTAATATGAATATGTCTAAAGAATAAAATTATACAAAAACACTAAGCTTTACCATCATACAGACAAGAAAGTTTTCCTTTTGAAAAAGACTCTTCCAAGGGCTCTCTTCATGTCCCTGTTCCTCAGGCTATAGATGAAGGGGTTCAGCATGGGCGTCACCACAGTGTACATCACGGCCATGACCGTCTCCTTAACAGTAGAATTATCAGCTGATGGGCATAAATAGAGAGCAATAATTGTCCCATAGAACAGTGACACCACAGACAGGTGGGAGCCACAGGTGGAGAAGGCCTTGCGGATACCTCTAGCAGAAGGGACCTTGAGGATGGACAACACAATCCGTGCATAGGACATGATGATAAGTAGGAATGGGATGACAAGAATAAGCCCTCCCGTGATAAATATCACCCACTCATTAACTTGAGTGTCAGAGCAGGACAGCCTCAGCAGAGCAGACATGTCACAGAAAAAGTGGGGGATCACATTGTCGGCACAAAAACACAACCTGGCCATGAGCAGAGTGTGTAACAAGGCATGCAATGTGGTCAGCACCCAGGACAGCGCCACCAGGGAGAGACAGAGCCTGGGGCTCATGATGGTGGTGTAGTGCAGGGGGAAGCAGATGGCCACGTAGCGGTCATAGGCCATGGCCACCAGGAGGAAGCTCTCCAGGTCTCCAAAAAACAGGAAGAAGTACATTTGGGCCAAGCAGCCTGAGTAGGGGATGGACGGGACTTGGCTCTGCATGTTCTGCAGCAACTTGGGAATGGTCACAGAAGAGAAGCAGAGGTCAGAGAAGGACAAATTGCTGAGGAACAAATACATGGGTGTGTGGAGGTGGGAGTCCAGGAGAATGAGCACGATGATGAGGAGGTTCCCCAGGACGGTGGTAACATACATGACCAGGAACAAGGCATAGGACAGGTTTTTCTGCTCTGATTGGATGAGTAATCCCAGAAGAAGAAACTCTGTGAAGGTAGTTTGATTCCTTCCTTCCATCTACATTTTAAGTACCTTTAAGAAGAAATAATAGTGTCCATTGAAACCTGAATTTAAAATAAACATATTTTATACTATATGGTCTGTTCCAAGGTCTGCAAAAATATGGTATTTCACTTTCATCACAATAATTATGATCTCTATACCCCAAAACTCTGTAATCAGAGTTTGTGATGGGAAAATGTATTATTTTCTTCAGTTCTCTTTAATAAGTAATAATATTTCAGCCTTTCTAAAACACTCTTATCTATTTGCTTCTGACACAAAAGGTTATTTCATACAAAGGTATTGCTTTTTCTCTTACCTGCCTGGCCAGAAAACCTCAGTAACGGTATTTGGCTCCTGCTCTGTCGATATCTTAAGAGATGAGGTTCCAGGGCCTTTGCTAAATATTGTCCTCTTATAATTCCACATATACCACCAGGAAAAACCAACAATTCCAAAGGCTTCAATTACCATTTAAAATTCAGTTGTAGATTACTCTCTAACTTATAAAACTCTTTACCCACTTGCATAATTATTATCTTTCCTTGGCTGTTTCACACGCCTTTAAAACTTTTTTTCTTTATTAATGTTAGAGAGGGAGATGTTAGGGAGGGAGGAGAGGTAGAAACATCAATGAGGAAGAACATCGACCGGCCACCTCCTGCATGCCCCCCACTGGGGATTGGGCCCACAACCTGGGCATGTGCCCTGACTGGGAATCAAACTGGCCACCTCTTGGTGCATGGGTCAACGCTCAACCACAGAGCCAGATCAGCTGGGTTCACACACATTTTAAACTAAGCAGATCATGATCTCACCCTGACCCTCTCTCATATCCCCCTCCTCTAATTTCCCACTCTCAGTAAAAGAGACCCAGGTTCTCCACTATAAACCTGAGAGTTTTCATTCATTCATTCCTTTCTCTCATCAACATATAGTCTGTCAACAAGTTCTATAGATTTTCTGTTTCTCATCAATTCCTTACCTCGACTGTCACTACCCTAGACCAGGATTACATCATTTCTTGTCTGTACTATTGGAACAGCCTCTTAATTCATGCCGCTGCTTCCATGCTTGAATACCCTTTCCTTTGATGTCCTTCTTTGACAATGTAGAATTCTCAAATAAAAAGCAGATCATTCTCCCTCAAGACTTCATGGATTCTCATTGGTCTTAAGATACATTCCTTTCAAAAAATTCCTTTCAAATGTGCTTCATGATCTGACACTTGCCTACTACCTCCACAGCTCCATCTGCCTCCACAGTGACACTCAGGTCCTCTCTCCAGCAATGCAGGACATATCTGTCACAATGCATTGCCTTCAGCTTTCTAAACTTGTTGTTTCCTTGCCCAGCACCTCACTCCCTTTGCTCCTTCACCTGGCTTTCCCCTACTTATTCTCTCCCTCCCCAGACCAGGTGAGAACCCACTGCTATGTTTCCACAGCACCTTGTTCTTGTCCCCACAGCACTCAGTCCCATTGGGATTATTTGTTTATAGCTGACCTCCCTGCTGGACTGTAAACCCCACGCAGGAAACGCCGTGACAGCAGCTAGGCCAGCACCTGGCACAGTGCTGATGATTCATAAACATTTATCGATAGTGCTTCAGGCTGAGACATGCATTCCTCCAACTTTAAAGTCAGCAGAAGTCCTTTTAAGATATAGTCACTACTCCTACTAAATTGTCCCAGAACAAGAACTCACTGGTCTCAATCCTTTAGCACTAAATATAACACCCTACCACAGAATTTGTGGGTATAATTGGGTGCCCATAGAAAATTTCAGGGTACCTCAGATTCACTACTTTTGTCACTGACAAAGATGATAATAGAGACATAATAACTAAGTAGATAAATGATAGATTGACAGATTGATAGATGGATAGATAGATAGATAGATAGATAGATAGATAGATAGATAGATAGATAATCTCCCATTGGTTCTATTTCTCTGGAGCATCCTAAGACACCTTAGTGTGCCTCAAAGCAGAGGAAAAGCACTAAGAGATGTGGGAAGCTCCTTCAGTAAACAAATCACTGAGGCCAGGTGCTGGGATTTTCACCCCTTGATGTTCTTTGATCCAGCTCCATTAACAGTTTTTACACTTTGACAAGATGCACTGACCATACACTGGGGGGAAACCCCAGGGGAAATTATACACCTGGATTCTCTGAATTTTGTTTCCCAGGTAAATTAATGGGACCTGACTCTTGTGACAATAGTATAACTGGAGATGACAAACAGGAGGCAGAACTTGAACATGCTATACTGATGATGCAATGAGCCTTCATCTCTTCACCCATTAAGTCAGTAGTTCTCAGCTTGAAGGGCACGTAAAAGACACCTAGGGCAGGGCTTCTGAAACCAATGTCCATGCAAATCACCCAGGAGTTCTAGCAAAACACTGATTCTAACCCAGTAGGAAAGAAGCTACTTTAAATTCTCACTCAGGTAATACCAATGCTACTGTCCACGGACCACACAATGAGTTGCAAGTACATATAATGCTTTTAGAAATAAGGATTACTGAGGTCCTCAGATAAATTAATCATGATCTCTGAGAGGAGGCCAGTGCAAAGGTTTTTAGAGCTCCCAGGTGATTCTAAAATAGAACAAGGGCTCAGCACTATTCCACTAAAGCCCACCTCAAAAACTGTTGTTATATTGGAATTACACAATCTGTGGGAATACATTTATACAAAAGATAATATTTATGAATACTAATATTAATTAAAATAGTGCATTGATGAATATTAATCAAAGTATTTCTAGAATTTGGGGAAGTCTGGGGAGGCTGAGAGGTGGAGAAGAGGAAGGTCATCATACCTGAAATTTCCCCAGCAGAATATCACACACCCTGGGAAATTAAGACCCTCCAGTTAGAAGGACCCTAAGAGACCAACTCATTCATTCTCTGCCTAATTTTGCCAGTCTGTCTGAGGGTGATTCCAGCAGCTTGGCCTGAGATCCTGCTTTCCTTTGTTCACTGAGGCATGTGAAGTAACAGCCTCTGTATTCATCACCTATATCTGCAACATCCCTTCTCACATCTCCCATTCTGCACATCCTTGGCCTAAGGAGCCTTGGATCCCAAAGGAGGCTAGATCCTGGAGGAATTCATTAAAGGCAAAGTAATTGCCCAGCACCTCTCAGGACAGTGCTATGAGAGTCTCAAAGAACTGATTACATTCACAGATCACACCTGACTATACCTGGGGGGAAGGTGGAATAGAGAGAAGTTCATGGCCCTGGCCGATTTTCCTCAGCGGTTAGAGCGTCGGCCTGCAGTCCAGAGAGACCCGGGTTTGGATCCTGCTAAGGGCGTGTACTTCAGTTGCAGTTTGTCCCGGCTCTGGTTGGGTTGTGCGGGTGGCAGCCACTCGATGTGTCCCTTTCACATTGATGTTTCTCCCTCTCTGTCCCTCCTGCTCTATCTGAAAAAAAAAAAAAAAGGAAAAATGTCCTCAAATGAGGATTTAAAAAAAATAAAAATAAAGAGAAGTTCATGTATGGATGCTTAAACACTGTCTAGGGAATGGACAGTAGTCTTGTGGGGTTGGAGCCAACATTTTCAGAGATCAAGAAAGATAGTTGGAGAATCCATAAAAACTAGCAGGGAGCAGAGTGTAACTATCCCAAAATATCTTTGGAGTGTAGGAGGCTTTACCTACAATTAGAAACAACCAGTGTCCTTTGAGTAAAGTGACATGGAAAACAGATATTTTGGAAAGATTCTCGGGGTGGTAGAATCTCTCACTACAACCCAGTTCCCCATAAACATACGCTAGGGGAGAGATACATCTGCAGCTGACAAGGATCGGATCTCTATGACCCAAGCTTATGCATGCATATGGAAAAGACTGGAATAAGAGAAAAGATAAACTCTCCCAGATCATTTTCAATCATCCTCAACCTGAGATCAAAAAGAAAATTCAGTTTGAATCCCACTAAGGTACTTCTATCTCCTTACTTCTTTAGGAAAACCTTAATAAACCTGCCACCACCATCATCTCTACTACTCCACATAGGTGTCAGATTTACTCCTAGTCTCCAGCTCTTCCTTACGTTGCATCTGATCACAAGGCTGTGGTTGACATTTATAACTCCTTCTATTACATACCTTCCATGTTCTTCTTGGCCATCATCTCAGCTGGATTGGGTTCTTCACAGAGCGATGTTACGCAAACCTTCATTTCTAGAGAATATGCATTTTCATTGGTCTTGCCTTTATTAAGTTGTTATAGTTTTCACTAACAATTGTTATTAGACATGACAATTCTAAGTTGTAACAAAATAATTCCTCAGAATTTCCGACATGGTCCTCTCTGATACAGTTGTGTAGAACATCTAGTTTTCCCTCGGTAAGGAATATCACAACCCCGGGCAGAATGGCAACCCTGATCTTTGTCTACTGGTTCACATAAGAACTGAAAAATGTGCAGGTGGTAGGATGAACTTTTGATTCAATGAGACCATTGTTACATCCTCTGGGAGAAGCACTCTTGAGACACTCCTTGTGCACCATTTTCAATTCCTCAGTCTCACCTCTTAATCCAGTCTCAGCTGCAGTAACCAATTCTGCACCGACTTCAAACATCCTTAATAGATGCAACCTAACAGCACCTCATCTCAGTTCTGCTCTACATACTCCTCTATTCCTGCTCCCTAATTCCATGAAACATTATTTAGGGAAATTTTTCTCTGTATTCATACAAATATTTAGGTACATGATACTTTGGTGTACAATGTGAGCTTTAGATTGAGGTGTTTGTTTTTTTCATATAGAACTCCAACGTTTCAAGCACTGATAGCTGAAAAGGCTGCTTTCCACTGAACTGTCTGTTGTTTTGTCAAAAATCAATTGAGGACACGTGAGTGAATACATTTCTGGGCTCTTCATGCTATTATATGCTCTCTATACTGATCTGTATTTCTATTTTTCCTAATACAATACTTTCCTGATTATATTTATTAATACTGAGTAGAAAAAGTAGGCAATGTTAGTCATTCTATTTTGTCCTTCACGT